ACAAAACAAATAAATATATGTAGATAGCCATTCAAAAAAAAAAAAAATAATTAGCAAACCGAATGGTACTGATTTTTGGCATGGTTCCAAAGATCGAATTTTAATGATGTCTAAATTTTTGTACGGTTTTGGAGATTTCTCAAACTCAAAACCACACCGACTCATACACACCCTTAACAAGGGCACTTTAGTTCTAATCAATTTTTTCTCCTTACCTGGGTTTTTACCCTCCTAAGTCCTAACCTTAAAAATTACACTTGTAAAGCATAAAATGCCCATTAAATAATGGATCGAACTTCCTCCCACTATTAGGTTACAAGCTTCATTTTTCCCAAACAAAGTCAGGATTTTTAAAGATGGATCATGGATACCGATGGAAAGACCGACTTGAGTTTCTACTTCACAGTGCACGAATATTTCCAGTAATACCACTACACAACAAATGGGGGAATTTGCAGCTCACCATCTTTCTTGACGCACACAAATGAAAAGTAGGGCTAACTAAAGCAAGTCGAATAATTCAAAATATCCTAAACACAAAGAGTCACAATTGAAGCCACCAACTCGTGTCCCTTGAGAGCTATGCCAACAAATGAGTTTGCCTAAGGGCATTTACGCTGAATGTAAGATGCCCCATGCTCTTCATACCTATGCTTGTCGAAAATATTGAGATAATGAAGACCAAACCCTAGCAGCCAATACACACACGCACACACACACAAAAAGGAAAGAAAATGAAAAAAGACAAAAAAAAAAAAAAAATACTTACTCAGACTTTGAGAACCACATTTGCTGGAAGGAGCCGAGCGATGCCAATATACTCCCACCGATCCAAACACTATGTTATGATAACCAAAAAACACAGGTTAACTAGCTGTAGAAGATGGAGATAGATAGATAGAGAGTTAAATATTGATCATTATCAAGCTTTCACTCAGAACACATAAAATGCTAGCATATTCACAAATCTGCCACCATAGGTACAAAACAGATTGTAGAAGTAGTAAAGTGAAGCTGCACGTATATTCTTAAAAAACTGAGAAAGGAGGTAAGAAAGGAAAATAAAAACCTGAATCTTCTTTCTGTAGCATTTCCACTCGCCAACACTTTAACCCTTGCTGCTTGCGGAGATTCCTAGAAGCGGAATGAAATGTCAGGTTCAAAACTCATAAATTCCAGCTAGCGAAATAACAGAAATAAATTCCTTCAAGCAGAAAATTCTCATAAACTCCAACTAGAATGCAGAAATAAGTTCATTCAAGCAGAAAATTCTCATAAACTCCAACTAGAATGCACGGATGCAAACAGTAGAAATGAGTTCATATATAATACTACTCCACAGTGATGACATTTTATCTTCAAACAGAAGTGTACTTTAAACTCCAACTAGAATGCACGGGATGCAAACAGTAGATATAAGTTCATTTATATTACTCTCCAGTCACGACAATTTTATCTTCAAACATAAGGATAGTTTAAACAAATGCCCATCAAAGCTTGGGGTTCAATAATGCAAAGGATCGGGTGCAGGCAGAGAGTGCAAACAACTTATTATTTACCAAGAGAAGTCAAAGGTCAGTAGACGATATTCATATTCATATGAGCAGGGGTGATTTCAGGAATGGAACTGTTAGTACAGGCATTTATGAGAAATCACTAGTGAAAATTTATGAAACAATGAAACCAACATGTTTAAAACATATTTTTTCCCCTTTAGGGCCAAATACAGTGAGGAATGAAAGACAAATGGACACAAAAAAAAAAAAAAAAA